TTATATTGATATACATTGTATACTAAAGCCGTGTGTGTGCAGAGCTAGGTCAAGAGTTGAGCAACCGACCGCGTGGTCGTGGAAGCATTTGGCTAGTGAGTGAGTACATGTATATGGTTCTATAGCTCATTAAGCCATATTCCAGCCATATAAGAGAGAGAAATTTGATGCACTCCCCCTTGATTTTTTATAGAAATCATTTTTCCAGGCTCGCTGACTTGGTTGATGCATGTCATCGATCCCAATTGCGTGGATCGATGATCATGACATTAATCATTGGATTGTCTGGTCCAGACTCGATTATTTACAGACCGCCGGGAAGGGGGGGGGGGGGGGGGGGGGGGGGGGGGGGGAGAGAGGAGAAATTTGATGCACTCTCCCTTGATTTTTTATAGAAAACAATTTTCGTTGTGAAAGTTAACTTGAATAAGAAATGCATAATCTTATTTGCCCCCCCCCCCCCCCCCCCCCCCTGTCAAAAAAAGTTAACTACGGCCTTGTCCATTCTCATCCCCTTCCCGTATCATATTTTGCCGACCCCCAGCCTATTTTATTAAACATATTTTTCATGTCATTCTTTATTTCATGGCAATTTACTTCGGTACCTATATGTCATTTCACAAGTATTTTAGGTTTTCAAGGGCAAAGAAAGAGTGCTGTCAATCAGTTTATTGTATTATTCGATACAGTTAAATCTCATCACATCTGTTCATCTATTCTACCCACAACCATACAAAGTGCAGTAGATCACCATTGACCTACAGTAAACTACGGTTACAACGAACTCAAGGAGACCACTAATTTTAGTTCGTTATATATGTGTATTCATTTTGTATACATGGATTTTCAACATGTTCAAAGCCCTGCAGGAGATTCTACTTGACATGTTATTAACATATATTTATACCTAATCCATTAAAGTTTTTTTAATGAAACGTGTTTGTAATTTATGGTAAAGTTATGTATCTTTGCAGGTTCATCATGTACACAATTTAAACCTACATTACAATGTATCCGTTCTTGGTAAAATTTGTAATCAATCAATCAAAAATAGCACTAGAAAGGTCAATGTTCACGAGTCAATCAGATTCCATGCAAGTGTCATGACACACGTGTTTCATAACGGCTTGTCATAATACCTGTTTACGAACATACAATACAACGTGGGTAATGAAGTATGTATATCACCCATAATGGCGGCTGTCGGTTCAGTTAGTTTCAGAAATATTCTCACTGGGCCTTATAATATTTATTTCCTGTTGATTGGCTAGTTCTTTCAAACAGTTCCATTGTCTTCATTGTTTGCGAAGCATCCAACAACGTGACGTCACATGAACGCATTGTTGCTAATAACTGAAGATGTAGTCATCCATTGTTTATGACGTCACCAACGACGTATTGTGAAGTTGTTCCAACAATAGCCTCTGAAATAAAAACCAAAAAAACACATATTGGTGATATAAACTTAAAGAATAACCTACGTGGTAATGGGAATCACGGTTTATCTTCCCCGAGTGAATGGATATTTTGCAAGTTTCGGGCCTTGAAATATAAGACTTGTTGACACAAAGCAATTTGAATATGCAAATTATCAAGGTAACTGTCAAAAGTAAAAGGAATACAAGGAATAACTATGAAAAAGATTACGCCAATAAAAGCAATTTGATGTTGAGGGAATAAAAGACGTTTTTTACCTCTTCCAGTTAACATTTGGCACAAAATATCTGCACAGACGGTAAAATTCAATCAAATTGATATAAAATGGAACAGGTATTTAAATCCCAAAAGCATAACCAAGAAATTGTTTTTTTCATAGTGACATCCATATATTTGTCCTCTCCGAACATTCAATGTATATACAGGAAGACGTAGCTGTCCACACACAAACATGTTTTTTATTGACCACCCATGTATCCTACGAGGCCGAAGTGGGATCCATGGGTCAATACAAAAGATCCGTGAAGACCCGGGGTAGAATAGGTCTTCAGCAACCCATGCTTTTCGTAAAAGGCGACTCACGGGATCGGGTGGTCAGGCTCGCTGACTTGGTTGATGCATGTCATCGATCCCAATTGCGTGGATCGATGATCATGACATTAATCACTGGATTGTCTGTCCAGACTCGATTATTTACAGACCGCCGTCATGTAGCTGGTATATTGCTAAGTGCGGCGTTAAACAACAAACCAACCAACCAATACAAAAAATCCATTGTTTGGCGTGCAATTACTACCTGTGATTTATCATATTACTGCTTACCATATATATATATATATATATATATATATATATATATATATATATCTATATATACACTCAAGTAAACAAGTACATTCTACTTTGTGAGTCATTCACACTAAAATAAAATATGAGTAATTAAGCGGGTTTATTTGATACATGTGTATTTATAAATTTAAATGAGATTGATAAAACGAATTGACTTCAGAACTGTGAAAACAACTGATCAAAATGTGTTCCACCGTACCACCTTGAACTTCCGACATTCGCAGTTCGGTGTAGCATTACTCGCGCTCGTGCAAGCATATATTCACGGAAAACCCCACCAGCAAACATTAATCTTGCTAGACTTGCCGAGGCTCCTCGACTTCATTGCTGAAATTCACCATTTAACGTGAATGTTAGTGCATAGTAATTTCTACATTGACATCATAATATTATATTGATATTATGAAATGTTAATTGCAACATGGTAGTTGGGAGTTAGTCTGTGATTACTAATATTGCACTGTGTTATGAAATGACAAGCGTTCATTCTCATATTGCTGACGTGTGAGAACATTGATTTTTTTCTGTCTTTGTCCATCATACCTTTCTGGAGAAAACATTTTATACGTCTACTGTGTCAGAGGTAGATGGTGATAGTGATACAAATTGTTTGTTTTTCAACTAAATAAATGTTTTCAAAATAGCCACGTGCAAGTGTAGGGGCCTGTCGCACTGCGAAATGTGTAAACACTGTGGTCATGTGACCAAGTGCATGGAAACTGGTTGGAACGAGTTGCTGTAGCCGGAATATTCTGGATGAGACAGAGTTAACAGTAGTGTACAAGACGTTGTGACAAGAGACTGAACCACGGTAAGATAAACATTTGGAATCACTTATCTCGCTGAAACCTTGCTTGCTTGTTGCACAAGTCCGGCGACTGGCCCCACGGCGAGAAAAGTGGGTCATTCTCACACCAGCTGATTACTGCGAACACTCGCTGAACGCTATCCGACATTTCACTGCTATTTTCTCGTCAGCATTGATTTCACTGTTTTTTCTTGTACTAAATGCCTGTAATAACACAACGAACTAAGTGTTGCTAGTCGTTTCCTTTCTATGAAACACGCTTGCTAAATTTACACGTTTTGGGCGGATTTCGTTGGTGCGATATGGTATTTTTTCGAATTTAAACGGACGCTTGGTGACAGACGCTACCTTGTGGCTTTGTTGCTGTAAATATTTATTTCTGAACAACAATGGTGAATGGATGTCGAAATGATATTTTCAACGTTTGAAATAGTTTCAAACTAGGATCAAAGGTTGAGAATTGTCATTCATTTGAAAATATACAAATGTGAGATTGTCTTTGTTGATGTGTCAATGTCCAAATAAACATTGGCTATGCGAACCAACTCCTCGTTTACTGTCATTTTGATTTCAAACAAAATATGTGTCTTAGATGTGTAACAGGCCAGGGTACGATGTAGTAAGCAGATTATTAGAAAGGCCATATCAGAGCTCTTTTCTGATGCAACTTTCTCCGTTTCATATCTGTCGACCCCTGCTCCCTAACTTCTAGGACTGCAGAATTAATGCAGCGCATATTTTTAGATTTATATGAAATTTAGTTGAAGTATTGTCTGTAGGGAGTTTGTTGTTGAATTGTGAAATACAGATGTTTTGCACTGTCCGCTGTTAGCAATGGTAAACGAACAAAGCTTTGCCACCGTTCGTTGTGGGCCCGGCCGGCTCTCCGTCAGCTGATTCCAGCTGGTTTGAACTAGTACACTCACAAAGGGAAGGACTAAACGTTTGGAGTCTCATTGTACTTGCCTAAGTCACGTTACAACCATAGCAACCACGAAGGCGACAGATAGACAGAATGCAGTTGCAATAGTGGTAGATCATTTTGTTTCTGACAAAAGAATAGTCCATATTGGATTATCTGACGAACTTTGTTGTGAAATGTTGCATACTGTTTGTAATATGTTTCTATACTGCCTCAAGAGACGTGAATTAATAAAAGTTATCTACCTTTCATTTGTTGATGTGGGAATAATTACAACAAAACCATATAGAAACCAAATAATTTTATTTTGAATATTGTTTTTTTTCCGATTTGAGCTGTTTCAAAGTTTAGTGTGGTTTTGTTGTGAAGCAAATTAATCACATAGGTGTAAAATTGCCAGAGCCTTTTAACCAAGTGTGGTAAGTGGGTGGCTTACTGAGAATGTATAAAATGCTTTTAACAATATTCCAATTATATGGCTGGTGGGTACACTAAATATGTTAAGAATTCCTATGTCATATATTGGGCCAAGATCTTGCCTGTGGCAGGAAAAATATATAACCACAAGGCTACCCTAGCAAAGTTGTCCTTGAATTTCCACCATCTAACAAGATTATGTGTTGGCTATGAAGAAATATTATGTTAGAATTTAATTATCCTTACATAACTTTTATTTTTTGAAAAGAAGAAAATATCAATGTCATGAACGCAAAATGTAAAAACAAATTCCAAATGTACAAGTAAGCGGACAAAGAAATTATATATCTGTTGTCTCCTATTCATAGATGAGTATTTTAAGCATGCATGAGTTGGATTGCACAAGCATGCATGACTTGGGTGGCAGAAGAACTTGAAAAAGCAAGGTTCACATATAATAGGAACACTGCATGAGCTGCATCACTGTAAGAGCTGTAGTCAGACTTAAATATAGCAACCCCAGTTTGTGGCCTGGATTCCACCTTCACCTTGCCAGTTACCTGGATCAGCTGATTGCTGTGGACCGCCTATCTTGGCAGTGTTAGTAGAGGCTGTCAGCTAGCTCTCACCAAGTCGTGGTCTGATGTTAGGGATAACCTCCATTTCTGCGCAGGGGAAATAACAGTTTATATTCACCCTACTACTGATCAGAAGGTGACTTTTGTTTATATTTCTGTTACTTTGTGTTTTGAACATTATGAATTTATTTGCTGGCTTATCTGTCCTTAAAATGTGAAACAGTCATGTCACTTGAACTTGATTCCGTGGAATTTTGTAAAAGCCATTGCAAATTCCTTTTGGCAATAACAACATGGTCACCCAGGTCAGTTTTATGTGTCTAACTTTGCATACTATTCCCATGTTTCTGTATGTTCATTTCTTCTTTGTTATATGCATTGGTTTGTACAGGTGCACCAACATTTTGTACACTTGGTCCCTGATTATTTTCTGACCTAAGTTTTGCATTTTAACAAATAGATCAGATTTGCCTAACATAATTCGGTTTTGGTGCTTTACCTTGTTTTATTATAGAGGACTTCAGTTTAAGTTTTCTGAGCGTGATTGCGATGTGTTTGGTTGAGCTGAGCTGCCTGGCTGACCCACTATAGTGCTATTCATAGAGCAAGTTACCAAGGTCAGCCAGAAAGGTTATGACCTGGTCAGTGCCCATGTGTAGCTAAAACACAGGCATGGCAGCATTGACCACTTAAGAAAGAGAGCTTATGAAAGAGAAGGAGAGTTTAGTTCAATGCTGTTTTGATTTGAAGCTCAGTTATGTGACATTGTGTACTTCAGAAAGGATATTAGATCTTTCCCCATCTGACACAGGACAGTTACATTTGATTAAAGTTAGTGGCTTGTATCTCTGTCTGAAAGCAGAAAGTCAGGTTTAATGAAATGTGACAGGATTTTATTTAAAAACATTTTGCAGATTGAATGAAAGTTGATGTAACTATGCTTTGAGGTATTTGCTAGCCACTCTTTTGTTGAGAGGGGGCACGGAGGGCCCAGTCTAAAGCGCCGCAATTTGCTGTGCAGAGTTGCATACCAGGGGCATGGCAGAAATGTAAGATGATGGGTTCAAATCTCGTTTTGCCCCGATTACATTACTAGGTGTGTCAGCACCAAACCCATGCTTGTATGTTTCACCAAAGTGGTGAACATCTAAGACCTGCATCACTTCGGGCTTGCCTCCAACATCAAGCTGACTAGCTGTGATATAACTCGAATACTGTTGAAAGCTGTGTTAAAACCCAACTCACTCACCCTTTCATTCAGATTTCCATGTCTAAACCTTTTCCTTTCGTTTTGCAGTTCAGAGATCAGTAGTCTTGGCACAATGGCTGACCTAGAAGGCAAGTACATGTGCCATGAAGACAACGGGCAGGCTGAAGAATCTTTGTTGTCAGAATCAAATCAAGACCAATTCTCAGTGGAAACTGAAACAGAAACCCTGCCTCCAGTGGAAGATGGGCAGGAGAATGAACCTGACCACAGGGGTGAGGAGACGGAAGGGGAAACTGAGCCTCTCTGTGATACAGACACTGATTGTACCCACAGCTGCGCCTCAAGCTCACAAGGCTCTCCCCTCCCCTGCAAGAAATTCCTGGCAGAGCAAATGGGCATGGGTAGCCCTGAGAGTTGTATCACCAATCCTGTCATGGAACCATTGCCCCTGAAGAAGTATCTCTCCACGGAACTGGGGTGTGGTGATGAGGACTGTCAAAGTTGCCTCTCCAGCAACAACACGACCCCTCTTCCATACAGGAAGTTCAAACCTCCAGAGTCTGATGCAGGAACTGATCTTCTTCCTGTGTGCCGCATCTGCCAACTTCCTGGAGATGACGATGAAATACTCTTCTCACCATGTCGGTGCTCAGGCTCTCTCAGATATGTGCATTACCATTGTTTGTTGGTGAGTACCATTGCAAACTGTTCCTGGGTTAAAGAATAGTACAGTGTTCAAAATTGGAATGTTAAGAAGTCCTTGTCCAATTATCATAGCCCTTATTCTAATTACATTATGACAGTATTAAAACAAAAAGATTTAAAGGGTCCTTCAATTCAAGTATAGTACATGCTTGCCGTAAAAGGTGACTATGCTTGTGGTAAGAGGCAACTAACTGGATCGGGTGGGCAGGCTCGCTGTCTTGGTTGATACATGTGATTGTATCTGGAATATTGCTGAGTGCGGTGTTAACAACAAACAAACCACATATAGTAGCAGAAAACCACATATATCACTAGCTACGATTTATTCCTGGTATGACACTGGTATAGTGTTTGACTTATTAATGCATATTGTATCGATCAGTAATCTCTTGGAATGTTTGATCTGCATTCAGATTCAATTCCTATTAGCCAGCTCCTAATGTAATTTTCTCTTTACCTTTTTTCAGAAATGGATAGAAGTGTGCTCAAGAAAGACGAAGAAACCTCCAAAATGTGAACTCTGCTTCTTCCCCTACATCAGACACAAGAGATTTAAGGTTGGTATCTATTTTTGTCCTCTTTCATCGTTAGTGCATGTTTGTCTTTACATAATTGTGTGAATGCATGTATAACCCTCCAGCGAAGGATCCTTTACATAAACAGGCATTTGTTCAGCTATAAAGAAAGCACTACGCTCTGGCTGTTTGGGAGTCCCAACAGATTTGATTCTGGTTCTTGAAAAACTCCTTTTTCTGCTAGTATTAGTTGGTGTATCTGTCTGTTAGTAATGACCCTACTTGCAGGGGCATTGTCTCTGTTTTATTAATGTTAATTACAATGTCTAGAACTTGGCAAAAACTGGCACTTGACTGTGGAGTTTGTCACCTTTAAGAGGGAGCAATCGGATATCACGTAAGGTATTAGCAGTGTAGAATTCATTATCAGGAACCCGGTTTGCCCGATTATGTTTCTAGGTTTGTCAGCACCATACCCGTGCTCGTGGGTTTCACCGAAGTGGTAAGACCTGCATCACTTCGGGCTTTCCTCCCACATTAGGCTGACATACTGTTAAAAGCAGCATTAAACCCAACTCACTCACTTATTCATTATCAGGAGGAGACTAGATGATTCTATCACCAAGCTGTTTCAAATAAATTATATGATCTGTAAACATGGTAGTGTCCTTATACATTTCAAATGAATATATTCATGATCACTTTGTCAAGACTAGTGATTTTCAGTCTATTTCCATTTTAAGTCTCTGAGGTAGCGATGACCCTTAGATTTATTGGTGTAAGATGAAGCTGCCAAGATTTTGTTGGGGTGTTACAATTCTATCTGAGGTCTATCAGGGATCGATTCCACTATATCCAAGCTGGACCAGTGCAGGGAAAAACATTGCTAGTGCAGGTAACTTTTACTGTCAGGATGCGTCAAGTGCAGCAGTAATATTTGATAAAAATCGAAAATTTAATTCTTTTAGAATTGGCTGCAAATCTTTTTGAATCCAGGAATGAAAGTTTATGAAATTAGTGAAATATACAGGAGGTCTGAATGCAGTGAATTTGCAGAACTAATTCTTTACAATTACCACTAGAACAGTCACTCATGAGGTTACAATCACATCAAACAGACACTTTGAGACTTCTTTTTTGAGGTTGTTTACTGGATATCACGATGTGAAAAGCCATATACAGATTTACCCAAAATAAAATACTGGAGCACATTTTCAAATTTATGTTCTCTTTGAATTCATTTAATATTCAAAATAACTGATAATACAGTGTTTCAATTTTGATAAACTGGTTCAGTCAGTATTTTGGTTGTGCAACCTGATTATTTACTTGGTTGCATCCGGTGCAGATTGTATGACAGTGGCACTCAATTAGGAGTGTTGGTGCGTTGGTGTAACAGTGGCACCCATTTGTGAATATGGATGGGAACAGTGGCACTCCTAAATGTGTGAGGACAGGTGGAACAGTGTTTGTTTGTTTGTTGTTTAACGCCACACCCAGCAATATCAGATTATGTCTAGTTAACCATTGCTGATTCCTGTAATAGTTCGTTAAAAGTAATCTCTGGCTGGATAATTTTTTGTCAAAATAATAGATTGTCATCACTACCCTTGTGTGTACATAACAGGCTCCTCTACTCCAGTATAACAATATCTACTCTACTGTATGAACATTCTAAATGCCTATCAAAGAACTTAAATTGGTTAATTAAAGACTGGGGTAAGAAATGGATTTGCAGCCATATGAACCCACCCATGTTTAAAATGTTGTAAATTTGTGCTGAAAAATGCAGATTAATTGATTTTCAAAGATAAGATGTCTAAGACACCCATCACCAGTTGTGTGTTATTCGAATTTTGTTCTAATTTTTAAAAACTTTAAATCAATTTTGTTTTTTAATAAAACCGTGTAAAAGTATTCTTTGAGTGCTGACTAAGGGCCAGTACACAGTTCATGTTTTACAGGCGCTAAAGATATTTTAAACTGAAAATGAAACATAAGATAAAATCAACTGAGAGGTATAGCTTCTTTTGCCCCTCTGTTTATAATAGGTTGGAAATATATTTCTCACCAGACGAAATAATTGCAGTTTCCTATTCTAAGTCAGTCCTTATGTGAACATTACTGCCCATGGCACCACAGGCAGGCACCTATTTCAGACATGGCCTTTGCCCTTAACTGCCAGCCAGCCATGTGACCTCTCCATTCCTACAATGTTGATTATTAAGTGATCTGCACATAGTAGACACGATAGGGATACTATTTGAGTGGTCAGCATGGTAAGATAGTAAGGCTTATCAGCGATAAATGTATGTGAAATGCAGTTAAAATTAGTCTATTGTAACTGTTAACTGTGTCAATTATATAAATATATATATGTTTGTTTTTAATGAACATTGATATGCAAAAATCGCTGGTTAAAGAAGTGGAAACCCTTGTGAATGTAGCCAGGATCCCAGTTTTGTAGTTTGGGACAGAGATTCTATAGAATTTGTACAGAAATGAATATGGATGTATATATGTTTGATCTGCTTGAGTCTGGTGTCGAGTCTGTGCCAGCCAGTGAAAAAAGGGTTAATCAAGTAATGGACACACACAAATGCATTTGGTCTAAATATTCGCGAGACTTGCTGGATGAAGGGACATGTTTCTGTAATGAGATCCTGGCTGGAGGGTTGTGTTGTCCTTGAGTTACACATTGTTGTCCTAACATTACTTAGTCATTGAATTCCTACCATACTGACTCTCCTGTCATGGTCAGTACGTATTGCCAGTGAATCTTGTAAGAGTTTTCCAAAGAGTTTAGTTTTTCTTTGATGAAATAAAGACTTGAATTAAGATTAGTGACTTTTGGAATATGGTCAAAACAGGAACCTTATCTTTCTTACGGCAATATGTATGATTGTGTTTGTGAGTGTTCTCCGATCAAGGTCTCCTCTGATTTGCACAGTGGTATTTCATTGCTATACAGTTTTGACCTAACAATCGTAAATGGTCTATTCCAAAACAACACTATTATCATGTTTATAGTATCTTAAAGAAGTTGTCCAAAAAATTTCATCAGACTACTTGTAAGAAATGCCTATCAAACAAATTTTTACACTGAAGAATGATTTGAAAGGCATTTTTGTAGAAAGATTGATTTGTGATTAAAGCTGCAACAGCAAGACAAATCATTGGTTATTCATTAATTGTATTACTATTGTAGTTTATGGAAGTGGTAACCACTCTCATGTGATTCGATTTGGTTAAAATAACAACTTTATTTTCTTTCTGTGTACGGTTTTCAGGCAATTTTGCCAACGTAGGCAATACCAGTTATATCACTTCTGTAATTTATCCATATGCTATTATGTACAGCTGTGTAATATGGAGAGAACTTGATTGATATTGTCTTTATTGCATCCTTTATTCTAGAGTCAGTTGGAACCACAATTAAGCAACAGTTGTCACAAATGTATGTGATAAATATTCATAGTATGATTTATTAGCCAAGAAAATCCTGCTGTTATGTCACAGATTTAGTATTAATTCAAAGGAAAAGGCAAATGCATTGAGAGACAAAAAGTGGTGGCAGACTGCACCCGCATAAGCTCATGCACAGTAAATGTGGAGAATAGTTATGCAGGGTCTAATAGCATAAATTAATTATTGTTCCAGTGTCACAATTATCAGTTGTTATGAATGTTTATACCATATGTTTTCATCAGAAAGTAAAAAAAGAGTTGATTTATTGCAACTGAATGAGAAAAAAAGTCATATAGTTAGAATCATAAACATGAAACTTGTTTAACATGAAAAAACATTTAGTGATAAAATAATGAAATGTTTAGTGGTTATATTGCTATCTTATTTCAGGTGTCATTTTTGGAAAGTGGGGTTGTTATGATGTTGCTAACGATGTTGCTAATGCCTTCTTCCTTTGCAGCCTTTGTTTTCAACTTGTGCATGTGAGCTATTGGCCAAATCGGGCAGCGTGCTCGCCATTGTTGGCTGTCAACACATTTGTGGACGCTTCACAAGGTCCACTCATGTGCATGTGCCCGGCTCAATTCTTAAAATATTTTATATTTTTTCAGCTGGGTGTTGGAGGATGAAAATCGGGTCCACTGCTGATTAAGACAATATCGAATGAGAAAGGTTGAATGAAAGCAGTGCTTAAGCGAAAGAGGACCCACAACAGTGACCATGATCCAGATCCTGGTATATTGTATATTGCAGGTAGTTTTCTACTTTTCTTTCATGCCTTGTTGTTTAGTTACATCCCCATTACCGTGTCAACATGTTCTGAGATTAATTGTCATGTGTTTGTTTCTTCCAGTTCCATCACTGGCGTCTTCCCAAGGTCAGCAGACGGGACAAATGTCTTCACACAGCGTTCCTGTTCAACCTGATAATCATGATCGGATGTGCAGTGGCCACTGTTCTCTGCTTCCTCTCCGATAAAGGACAGATCACGAACTTGCCCAAGAACAAAGTGGAACTGACTTCGGAGGAAGTAATAACACTAGCATGTGGCGTTTTCTTCTTTGTGTCATTCTTCATTGCCATGACCGTTGAGATCAAAGCAAAGCACACTGTGTACAAACTCTTCATCAAGTTCCTCACTCAGAACACAGAATGGCAGATTGAACCCTATGACCGCTCAAAGGATCCTATGTACAACATCCACCCTTCTCACAATGTGTGATGATGATGATGATGATGATGATGAAAAACACTTTGATTTTGTGGATGTGGAACAATGACATTTGTCAGTGTGCATGACTTTCTTCAAAATGGCTCGGCTGAACTCTCACTCAGCTTTTGCTGTGTCATACAGCAAACTAGTTCACTTTCAGTAAGCTTGTGGTTAATTTACACTGAACACAAACATAAGGAGAAATCTAAAGACTGTACTGTCACTTAGACCACCAAAGGATGAAGGTGTAATGTTAGGTCTGTGTGAGTGCATCCTGCAGCAGTGTGTGAAATGATTTGCATTTCCAGGTGTTTACAGATGTGTGCATTGTCAAGTCTGCTGTTGGATCATTATGTCCTTTGCAGGTTCTCGTTAGTGATGTTATGGTATCTCTTGTTCAAAGTTGTCATTTCCCTGATACCTTTATTAGTAACCAATTTATCTGACAACTGTGAACAAATTACCATCAGAATATTAAACACACTGACTTTGGAATCATTTCATAATGCTGTTAGGAAAAGCTTACGAGAAATATTGAAATCCAATCACTATTCTCTTTTCAAGCAACTAAAAAATCTATTTATATTTTTTATTTCTTACAATTGAGTTGAATTGGTCACTCACTGTTTTCAGTTCTTGATAATTTTAATCCTTGAGTGTGTTTTATAGCAGTGCAGTTATCAACTTCATCGGTTGATAATTAGTGCATTATAAATCTAATCGTGAGCAAATAAATCTTCTTGTTTTGCTTCTTAGATATCAGGTAAGACAGTCTTGTATGTTTAAACTTTCGAAAAATGATTTATTTTTTTTTTCTGTGATAAATCCTTATATGTCAATAGACATGAACTTATAACTAAAATATTATATTATTTAAGCTGCTCTTGCCATTGGTGTTTTGCTTAAGTTATATTCATCAGGTTTGAGGGAATGTCCTCTGAGACACTTATTTGTTTATGAGATTTTATTTTTTTGAAATATTACTGGTACATTTTATCAATGTCTTGGCTGAAGCCTGTTCAAACTATCAGTATTATGTTTGTTGTGCAAGCATTTAACAAGAACAGTTCCCATGACCACATGGTAGTCTGTATCATGACTTCATAACATACTGTGTAAGGATAAGTGACGTGTCTTTCAAAAGGTGCAGTTTCACAGAGCAATCTTAGTGCTAAGACAGTCGTAGCCCTTCGATTGCTTGGTATAACTGTTCCTAGCAAGACACAGATATGAATATAAAAGACTATTCTAGGCCAGCTCTACATCAAGGGGACCTGTAAATTATTCAAAAACATTCAATTTGTTTCTGAGAGCACTGCCAATTATTTGTTATAACAGATGATCAATGCAAAACTTGTTAGGACCAGTGCTGAACGATTGTGCAACTGAAAAAATATCTCATCACATATCCTTCACATGAAGACAAATGTGACACGGAAGCATTTTCTTGGAAGGGTTAGACACAATTCCACGTTGATACTCAACAATAAGGGTAAATAAATACCTTGTCACATGATCAGCAAAGACATGGTGACGTGTTGTATGTAAACTGTAGCAGATACAGTGATAGACCTAATGCTTGTATGGTTGGTAGTTTGAAGAACATAGATGTTTTAATGTGAGCAAGAAAAGAACAAATTGCAAATACAAGTATCATATCAAGCAGCAGTAAATATTGACCAACACATTTCTTACCTGTAAATTGCATTCCCATATCATTATGATAGACCTAATAAAAACAAAGGTGTTTCTGATTACCTGAATTTAAAAAAACTAGTAGCCGTTTGGTTTTTTTGCTTAATTTCTTGCAAGATAGTATAGCTGAAGTCAAGGATACAAATTTGTGTCTCGAATTTTACATATGTTTCAATATTGTTGGCACGCAACAGTATGATCAGTCTCGTGAAATTAATGGCACCTAAAGATATTTTTTTCAACCAGAGTATCTTGTAAGTGAAGTGTCCTCCATGGGATATACAATCATTAGATCTATGCAACCCTAGCATGGCGGTGGTTAGAGCTTACAGCTTGATCTCACTTCACTGCGACGCTGTCAGCTCACCTTTGCACCTTGGTTACTTTAATAATATAAATACCGTACCTGAATATCATTGTAAAAAATATTGTCTTCGCAGGGTTGTATGCCCATTGGCAGTTTGAATCTTCACCTGTTTTGGTGTTAACTGGATTTTCATTGATCCTGATATTGACCTAATCATCCATTAGCCCACCATCTCATAAATAGCTCCAACTCCAGTTCACCTCCAGCGCAAGGTTCCTATACTCATCAGAAAGTCAACCATTGACTCCATGCTCATACTACAATCATGAATATTATCAGAACTCTGTACAGGGGCTTATATCAGGGGAGACAGACAGATGCTGTTGAGATATGATGGTGAATGCCATTTACACAGATACTTGAATTTAGAAAGAGAATTTATCATATACAGCCTGAGATGTGATGCTATACATTTTGTATACCATAGCGAATGCCAGGTGCTATCAGCCATTTGAATACTATACTGCACCTTTTCAGTGTAGTTTTGAATTTATATGTTAATTCATAATGTAATATTTTCATATGTTTCTTTGAAATGACCAAGTGTTGATATTGGTATTGATCATTTGTACAAATCCACTTTATGAGACTGGCTGCATGTTAGACTACTTACGCTGTGAATGGTAACCATGTTGGTTAGGGAGTGAGGCTGGGTCAGAGATGCATGTCAGTAATTTGTTCATCACTAAGTGATATGTATTAATATTTAAAGTAATCCAAGTACTGAGTTTGTGTTTAAATTTAGTGCTGTGAGAGAAATATATTGCCATTGTACGAAACATTATTTAAATCTTTATATATATTCTTTCTATTTTTAATAAAATGTCATCATATGATTCAGACTTGTCAAATTATTAAGCGTTAGGAGTGAAGTATTCATCTCCATGGTCAGTGCTATTAGGTCAGTAGGTATCATGTAGAAACTATCTTAAACTAGTCTTAGGAGCGATGATGTAGCACTGTGGAAAGTGTGCCTGGGTGCCTTTGTACAAAGTAATCTTAGCGCTAAGGTGATCGTAACTCCCATACCTTAACATAGACTTACGACAGTCGTAGCGCTAAGATTGTTCTGTACAACGGGGCCCAGGTATGTTGTGCAGTACAAGGTCCTATTCCCAACATTATGATCACAAAGTCAATCTTAGAACTCATTCATATGTTATTGATGGCAGATATCCAAACATTGTGTCCCCGATGTTCTTTAAGATCAGATCTTGATCTGAAATCAAATTGATTACTCTTGATATTATTTATCATTTCACTCACAGGTAGAATACTATCTTCAAGGTAGCATATATCTGGATATGAGCTTTCATTTCATCAGGGCATGGGTCTAGACTTTATGCCACTAAAACACAGGGCACTGTACCAAGTTTTGTGAGTACCTTGTGTTGGGAGATATATTTAATCAGGGTGTGCAGCCGAGTGGTATTCATTCCACTTTGACATGTTTAGGCCATGTGTTACATGAAGTCTTCTAGCCTGTTAATGTTACTTGATGACTATCTTTAGCGGGAATTAATGTTGGAGATGCTGCTGATCCCGTTTGGTACAGGGAGTGAGTAAGTGAATATTGCTTAACGCCGTATCAGCGATTTTGCAGCTATTTGCGGCCTTGGTACGGGGATCCGGGTATCTACTAAGGGATCTGGGTTTCTACTCAGAGGGTATACAGGACTTTGCACAGTGGTTAGCTGGATGCAAGTAAAATTGTATTTGTTATGCAGATCCAACATTTAAAAAAGTACTAAACATATATTTTTTCAGTAATTTAACTTCAAATCACACATTTTTGTCAATGGAGATTAGTGTAAAGTAGTATTGTGGATTCAGTGGTCACCAATGAGACTACAGAGTGTCAAGTTAGATGGTGTTTGGGATTCAGGGGAGTGTAGGGTTGGCACCCTCAGTGGAGAGTGTTTGATACAGCGGAACCCTCTGCAGTGTGGTCCTCTAGCAGGGGGCCATATGCACTGCTGGCGTTCACTGTGTTGACACTCTTGCAATGAGCATGATACTTATGAACTGGGAACAAGTGTTTTCATGTGCAGTTTAGGAAAAGACAAGACCACTGTCTCCCATCAGTCTGTCTGTGACAATTTCCTTATCTCTATAGCTCGATCTCTGTAATAATGGTAAACGTAATTGAATTTGAGTTAGCAGACATTATGGCGTTCGAAGGACTGAATTTGCTGGAACAGTGGAAGTAAGAGGCTTGCCTTCGGTTCAATGAATTTGCCTGTCCGAAATTTGGTAAAAAATGTCTAAAAAGGAAAAAAATGTCTCGTTTGTAGGATTAGCAACAGACAACATCAGATTAAAACTATATAAATAGAATGAAATTTTCTACAAGCTAAGCGGATTGTTTGAGCGCCACGGGGTACATAGAACCCTATCACTTACAAGCCGGTTGCCGTGCAGCCGTATTCAGGGCCCGGATGCCGTGTTGACGTAAGCCACTATAAATAGATACAGTTAGTTCCCGGGCATTGTGAGATCAATAAACCCGATGACATCCGCCAACAAACTGCTTTCACACTTGTCACTGGTGATGTAATATGTTAGGTATGCCATATTTATCAATGGTAGGCAGGGGTATTAATCCTTTACAACCGAAGGCTCGCTGATGCATAAATAGTGACACATTAATGACGGTTGTTCGTGTAGTAGAAAATCTACTGTGTTTTTCTTTGTTTTATTCTCAGGTAATACGTTTGAAATATATGTTCATATGTAAATCCAGGAGGTAATGTAGCAAAATAAAATAACGAAGTTTTTTCATAAAATACCAACAAAGATTACATATCTTGCAACACATTTGAAGATATTGCGTAATTTGCAATTCAGAGGCATCAGTGAAAAATGTGTTAACACATTATGCCCGCTCTGTGTTAGCTGGTGTTGATTGGACAGAAATTGTATAAAAGAATAATTAACAGAGCAAGGCATCGTTACTACATCAATACCATTTGGTTAAACTAAGTAGACGAAAGACGTATTGCATCATAACATGACATGTTTTGCCCCCTACAAAGGCGATGCTTGTCGGCATGTAGACAGATGTTTACATTAAATTATTACCTACTGGGTCTCCATTTCCGACAGACTATGTTTATTTGTTTGTTTGTTGTTTAACGCCGCACTCAGCAATATACCAGCTAAGTGACGGTGGTCTGTAAATCATCAAATCTGGACCAGACAATCCAGTGATTGAACGCCCTGAGCACCGATCTCGCAGTTAGTCGCCCCATACCACAAGTATGGGTTGCTGGAGACCTAGAATATGAGTAACTATGCAGGTACCATCTGAAGGAACAAACCAATTAAGTAGATGCATTTCCTTTGTCAGGAAGAATAATATTACATAAAATAATGAAAAACCGTAGCACCATGCAACACGTGGCCTTCTGGGTTGTGTTTACTTGAAGCCACCGCGGCCTTGACCGCGATGGAGCGCGGCATCTGTTTGCATATTGCCGTGACACGTGGATTCCTTTGACTGGTGCCCGTCTACAAGAAAGAGCTGTTCGGGCGCAGGCGATCGTTGTGCCAAGCAGGAGAACCGGTATACAAATCGTTGGCCACGGCATGTATTGGAAGGATCAGGTGATGTTAAACCTTGGGAGGAGGATCTGACACCAACTAAATGACAATGTTTATATGTGTGACTTAAGTTCGTCTTCGGTTTAAAATATATATGTCAATTCGCATGTATAGTAGGAAAGAGGTAATGCACGTGGGCATGTTATTATGTTGGTTGAAAACAATCCAGAAATTCTTAACCCAAACTGCATTAACGTTCTACAGCGAAGATAAAAATAGTCTACTTGGTCAATCGAGCTGTCTGTATGTGATGACGTACTACATGTAACGTATTCTGTGTCAATCAGTAGGCTACAGAACCATATCGATCAAGCAATAACATTAGCGTACGTATATAGTGTCGTTGCTCAGAGGTCATTGTGTGTGGGTGGTTGAATACGCTTCTACGAAGATTCCAAAGGGCGCAATGCGGCTCTTGCTCAAATGTTGTTTGATCAAGGCTACAACAATCAAGGCCTCGACAAAGCTTTCAAAAAGTTCTATGGTAGACATGTGGAGTGCATTTCCAAATTTGACGCATGCGTCAGGGATAGAAATGATGTCCGATGCAATTGTCTATTTTGTCTTGTTCCATATGTTCCCGTGGTTTTTTTCAGAAGAACAATTGACTTGCCTCTGTACGTGTTTGTAACGGGTGCCACCTGTGGGTCAGAATAAGCTCACTTTTCCTCGAACAAGTTGTATCATTGCTTATTTGGTGGCGTAGCCTAGCTAGTGGTTAAAGCGTTCGATCGTCCCGCCGAAGGCCCGGGTTCGATCCCCCACATGAATACAATGTGGGAAGTCCATTTCAGGTTTTTCCCGCCCTGATATTGCTGGAATATTGCTAAAAGCGGCGTAAAACCACACTCAATCGCTGGCATCAAACAAGCTTGAGTTTACAGACGACCCTGGTTAAGACTAACACATCTCTATGTGTTGACGCTCGCGACGTGACATGTAAGTGCTCTGGATGTCACGCCAGCTACACATTGGTATGTAGAACAGGTGCAATTTGTGTGAATGCATGCCAGGGGATATGCTATATACCTCGCCGTTAGGCCATTCTGATATTAACAGTGCATCTTCAAAATGTACGTGATGGAATGACACGTCGAACAATAGTGGTATGGAGGAATGTGGAGCTGCAGATAGCTGCATGTATGTGCACTAACGAAGGGCTCTCTTATGCGTAGTAGTAATTAAATACTTATGGCAGGAGACCTGCTACAGCTCTGTTTTCAGATTGCAAATAATTATTTGTCATGCTCGGATAATGAATATAGAATTAAGGATGCACGCGTACTAGCTTCGGGGCAGTTGACGGTGTTTTTTTCAAGTAATTCAAGACCCACTTTGTTTCATGGTGTATATCATCTAGCAGTTAACGACCTCCTTCATTACACAAGCGAACAGAGAACAAAGGGGATACGATCGAGCCAGTTGACGATCCCAGAAAGTTGGTTTCAAGTAATTTAAAACCTTCTTAGGTTTATGATATCAGTTAAAATGTAAAAAAAAAAAATACACGGACTATAAATGTTTAGATGCAGCTGCATTCCGTCGTATTGTGTGTAGGATTATTATTGGCATGTCCCTTCTTGAAACACGATAAGGATGGCAAATGCATGTATGCGAGTATACTCGATCAGCCGGTGTGTTATATCTCCATTGTAGCGTCACTTCGAAAATCATAAATGCCACTTCATGCCAAGGAGCCCCTCAACACAGCAATGCGACATATTTATTATATACAGGTACTTTCCATCATTTAGGGCATAACAATTGGGGATTAAATTGAAAATAGAAAACAACACACCAGGCCAAAAACTAAAGTCAAACGAGATTTAACTCTCCTAGGCTCCTGACTCCAGTCCATATTTCACTCTGAATATGATCGGATTTCCCTTGAAAATATAGACTTCTTTGCGATTACGGAAACGGGCAAGGTTCACCAATAAGATGGATCTATGATACACTGAATAATCGAGGACGACGCAAAGTCGAACCAGTATGAAAATATAGAATACTAAACGAGCTCCCGTGTAATACCAATTTTATGAAACTCGTGAATAGTTGTGGTATCTGACGAGCGAAAGCGAGTCAGATACCACAACTATTCACGAGTTTCAATAAATTGGTTTTACACGGGAGCGAGTTTAGTATTTTATTTATTACTGGCCATTTATAACGTTTTTAGAATTATACTGTTGAGTGTGAATAGGCTGACACCTACACGATCCATGGCATAGTC